AGTTTTTACACAGCTGAATAAACGTCAAGCAGACAGCTGATTATCAGAAGTGTGAGATGCTCGAGAATTTACTCCAGTGTCCTGTTATATTTTAGACAGCAAGGAGTTTATTAAACTTCACCGAAACAATCTGCACATTTAATTAAAATTTAATAAACTATCATCTTGTCTTTATTTTTAGTTAGCACATACCTGAAACACTTAAAGCTGTAAGCTAATGATAGTTATATAAGAGCAGATGCTGCTGGTGCAATAAGCTGTAGTTTTACGTACAATGGATGATGATCTGATTAGTCGACTAATCGCAAAAATAATCAGTGACTAGTCGACTATCAAAATAATCGTTTGTGGCAGCCCTAAATAATAGTGAGACTGTTTTTTGGGCATAATCGATCAGAGTGAATGTGTATTGGGTCACTTTTGCAGCTCACAGGAACTGGTCAGTGTGTATTTGACATTTTGTCAGCGCTGTGTGCTGCTGGGGAAGTTTTACACCCTGAAAATAGCTGCAGGTTGAGTGTGAGTCAAACTGCACAGACAGAACCTGCTGGTTTCTGCTGTTTGTCAGAATGTTCCTGAATGCATCACCAATGAGATATTTACAACTGGCACATGGCTTCAGCCTCACATGATGGTGAACCAGCAGCCACGAGGTAACTGCTCACCGAGGTGGTAAATTTACCCCCAGCAAGCTTCACATCTGCAGGTTTTTTACAGAGTGAAGTCAGCTTCAAATTTCAGCGTCCTGTTACTCATCTCTGCAGGAGAAGCCTGATTTTACATTCCTGTGTTTAATGTTTCATTCAAATAGGTTATTCATAACAAAAACACTGAAACTAGGCAAACTGTTGTGAAGACTTAAAAAAAAAAGAATTAAAAGCAAAAGTAGAAAATACTATTTCAATTAAAATCAAATGCTAAACTGTCTGCTTGTTAACCTACTGTATGTGCACTAAAAGCATCTCAATACGTGTCATTTTGTCCACAACCAAAGATGGAGCAGGTGGGGATCTTTTCACATCAAAAGTCTCCGAGTCTGGAGTCTGATGTGAGCTGAGAGGAAACGCACGGTTCATACTTTCATTTTATTTTTCTGTCTGATAACTATGTTGGCAGAAGTGCTCTGAAACTTTCCAGCCCGCTCAGAATAAACTCTGGACTGCTCCTTTAATCCAAAGCTGCAGCTCAGTGATTCTCTCCCACAACTTACATGAATGGGGGCAGATATTCAGTGTACCCGCCCGCCCTCCACCCACAGTGAGCTACAATTACATCACCGCCTGTCGACGCCACACACAGCACGAACGCCTCACACAGCACGCGGGGAAATGTCAGGGGTCACAGTGTGTTACTATACATGTATCCATGCGTGAAGCGACTCCTGACTTTGTGATGTCATAATCCTGGACCTCTTTACTGGGAACATGGTGATCCTGATCTGATGATTTCAAAATCTCTTTACTGCGTTGTTGCTTCTGTTCAGAAGCTGCGGTCAGATGACCTCATGCATGGTTTACTATTCCTCTTTAAAAGATACCTGCAGATATACTAGGCAACTCTGTTTTTAAGTAATTCAACATTTATGTAATTTTTCTGTGGAAAATATAAATGAACCCCTGGAATCTGCTGCCCCTCTTTAACAGGAATATCTTGTGGTAGATGTTTTGTAAAACAGATCACTAGTTTTGGATACTCGATGGCTGGAATTCACAAAATTCAAAGCTCGTTCATTTGGAAGATATTTAATGGTTCTCCTGTGGGTACTGCCCACTCTCCAGGATGTTTACTGATGAGTTTCAGGTGATGCTGAAACGTTTATCAAATTAAAGGAGGCTGATAAGCAGTCTGTTTAGTGTGATCACACACTGATGTTTTGTCTGTTGCAGGTTGCTGCGTCGCCTGGCCACTCTGCTCTCCCAGCAGGCTTCACTCATGGCCTCCAACGAAGCCTTCAAGAAGCAGGCGGAGGGCGCCAGCAATGCCGCCAAGAAATACATGGAGGACAACGAGATGTTGCAAGAGGTGAAAAAAACACGCACACAGAGTTTTGAGCTTTTCAAGTTCTGCTGGTAGAAAACCAGTCATCAGAGGTCATGGGTCACACTGCCGTAGGGATGGGTATCGTTTAGGTTTTATCCGATACCGGTGCCAAA